ATTTTATTATTATTACTATTTTTATTCCTTTACGTTCCCAGTGGAACAAAGACCTTCAAGCTAGAGCTCTGAAGTTTCAGTAGCATCAGTGGCTTTATTTTTACGGGATGGGGCTGCTAGCCTCATGTCCAACCTTCCCCCTTTACTAGTCATACTACTGGCTTAGCGAGGTAATGGAGGATTGCGTCAGTGGCCGAGGATCGAACCCCGACCCACCTGCATGGTTAGCAGACATTCTACCTCTATGCCACCAACGCACAAAGGTGTTAATGATATTCAAGCATAAGTAATTACACTATTAGTTCAAATAAAAACTGGGTAAATGTGTTTCGTGATCTGAGTAAAACAGTCGATGAATCATGCAATACAATATGATTATGATTCACATTCAGAGCTTTTTGATTACTTATTCGGGTAATAAGCTAATGACTCACGATCATTTTTTAATTCACTTGTCTGACTTAATAAGTTACTTTTCTACTACGAAATTTTATTTGTATATTTTATGAATCACTTATTATTTTAACTCTCAAATCTGATAAATAAGATCCAGGTTCTTTTTACGAAGGTTATTTTAATTTAAGATAGTATATTTACGTGTTTAAGTGTTTGGTATACAGTGATATGATTGATTTAATAGGGGTAGCTGTTTTCATCAATGAACAACCTAAGAGAACCACTGAAAACCAAAGAGTGTAAAGTGACGTCTTCATTCTTATCTTAAACTGTTCAGTATAGCACATATACAATTCTCTACTTCTTTCTATTCATTGATCGGCAAGTAACCGCACGCTTACCTAACTATTGTCATCACTCCACTGGTTAGAATTTCTCATATGGACTCTAAGTTCAATTGATGATACTTTCATAGGTGTGATAGTCTCAAAAATGTATGTTCATATACAATAAAGGTGACGCCAGCAACCAACTCGGTTATTATTATTCTCTTAGGTTCCGAGTGGAATCTCTATTTCCTCATGTTGTCTGCAATCCTCTCTAGCTACCTCCACGATTACCTATAAGCTTTCATCTCCACTTCACACAATCTCCTTCGGATCAACCTTGTGCTCAAGCTTTACTTGTCACTTCCCACTCAGATTACATTCAAGGGTCTGCTTGGCGTTTGATGTCACTCAACGGTCTCCTCAGCGAGTGTCCGACCAATCCACCATCACCATTTCCTTCCACATACTTTTGAACCATGAGTTTTCTGATTGGTTCGTTTCTAGAGTTCCTTGTCGCTAACCGTTTCTGGTCGGTCATCTAATTTTTTATTATGGAGCTAGTGAAGGCAGTCGTTGATAAAAGTCTTCAGTAGCCTGTTGGAAATGGTTTCAGCGACACATCAAGTCTCTGACCCATATAGAAGCACTACTTGACCTTAAAATTAGTATTTAAAACATCCACACTATACGAACCTACAGTCTAGCTTAAAAACTATAGAATTAGTAACAGAAAATACTTGGCTTATGAGAAAGCATTGATAAAGTTAACAAAATCTAGAAAGTAAAATCCAAAGTTTAGAAAAAGCCGAAAATCTATTAGGATATTCACAATCTGATCTGAGAGTTAGAAGATTATGCTTACAACTGCTGCTTAGAACCTGGCAAACAAGAGTGCATACTCAATTTTAAACGCTACGAAACAAATTAATGTGGAATTACAAACGATGGCAGTGCTCAAGGTCTATTTTATTAATATCCTAAGCTCATATTATAAACTTGAAATGTACTACTAAATCAGACAACAAGTAGTTAAACACCATTCAATTAGATTAGCTGATTTTTAACAAATCACATGAAAATGATTTAGCTTCATTCGTTTTTAGGTCATTTATGATTTTTCCATTGATTGATTTGACCGAGATGTTCAACCTTTGCTGAAATGTCGGCTCCTACCACACACGTTATGACGTTATGTCAGAGGATTAGCATGAAGTGATTTAGTCGAGGAGGCTGAACATTTTGGTCCAATCAATCAACAGGAAACTAGTAGCTGCACAAGAAGTAGCTGTCGTAGTCTAGGTGATCTAGTGGATAACGTTCTGACATTTGAAACGAAGGGTAATAGGTTCGAGTATCAGTGAGAACAACATCACTCCACTGGGGAATAATACAGCTACATCCAGCTGACAAGTCCTCCAAATGAAGAAATATACACATCATGGATTCCACTGAAAGTCACCGACCACCAAACTAATTCAGTGATTTAACTCTGTTAACAACACTGTTAAACCTATTTCAACATTCACAGGCAATGAACAGAAGTACACAAAAGTCTACTTTGAAAGACTGAGTTTTACTAGCCTACACGAAGTATCTATATATGAGGCACGTAATTGTTTCCATGTTGACATTCAACAAACTACACTGTCAGTAGCAATCAGTTTTTATCTCCGACACAAAATTGCCTTAAACAACAACAAACTAAGGGCAGTCAGTATCAGTAAGGCGGAAAAATTCCAAGAAAAAAAAATAACGTTCAGCCCAGTACCGACTTCCAGGAAAAGCCTATGAGGATAGTAGTATAATATTTTTAAAAATCTAGCAAACATGAACAAAATATGCAAACAAAATTAGTTGAGAATCATTAAATTATGTATAAACTAAATAGACATATTCAGCATTGGTCAGTCAGTCAGTCAGTCAATGTGACAATTGGATGACACGGGTTCGAATCTTAGAAGGGATATGAATTCCTTCAAGATTACAGATATGCCTTGCTGACTGGTGTGAGTGCCAACTAGCACGAAACCTAGGTTGAAGGCTTTTTGTCGATTTCCTGCAACCATCTTACACCGAATTATACTCACTAAGAATACACCAACTATGAGTATTATATGAAACGAAAAATATTACCTACTCAATCCAATTCGTGTAAGTAATGTGTGCGCTGAGATATTAAAATGAAGATCAGTAAGGCATGACACACTTTCATTAATCTGAAATCAGTCTAAAAATCGACTGCGCCAAGTATAAAATTTAAAACTAGTAATTTCAACACTAATGTTAAGTCAGTCAGTCAATCAGTCAGTTCTTTTATGTGCTTCAGAGACTTGCACCGCATGTCACTAAAAGCATTCTCAACAGCCAGTTACAGACTTTTATTAACAACTGTCTTCACTGGCTCCATACTGAAGATCAGTAACCGGCAAGGAACTCTGGAAATAAACCAGCCAAGAACCCATAGTCCAACAAATTTGGAGAAGGAAATGGTGATGGATAGGTTGAACACATGCTGTAGAGACTGTTGAGTGACATCGTTAACCATGACAACACTCGAGTGGAACCCGAGGGGTAAACGATGAGCTGGATCTAGGTCCGAGGGATACATGAAGAAGGTGGTAGTATAAGGTGGAGATGAGAGCTTATAGGTATTAGTGAGGGTGGCTAAAGACGACTACAGAGGACAGAACAAAACAGAAATGTGCTCCTGAAGCATTATATTTCATTTAGAATTCAAAGGAATAATAAGAAATAATATGAATCCGAATGAGTTCCTTCAGTTTTTATTGATTTTGAGACAACTACTTTTTGTATATAAACTAAATATTTCTTGTTTTCCTGTCAGAAATTCACTGATCAGATGTACATATTTTTATTAGTTCACCATAGACACCAAACCATGCAACAAATAATATACACTCTTTGTAAAGGAACGCGAACATTGAACGTTGGTTCGTTGGCCTTGGTAGCCATTGGCGGGCAATTCGAAAGTGCGAATAATTCAATCGTGTACAAGTTGGAAAAAGGCGAAGGAATATGAATAAAAGTACTGGTGCATTCATAACAAAACATTTGTTTATAGACTTCTGTATCATTTTCGATTTTAATTGCCGAACAGTTTAAATTATTACAAATACTGGTCATTTTGGAGTTAAAGTCGAGAATTGATAGTAGTAGTTATCGATTCGGAGCGTTTTCGCAAATAATAGGAACACAGAGTTAAGTTTCTTGACATCCTTAGTAGCAGACTATACAACAACACAGTAAAATAATAAAATTTATGGAATTTACCTTAAAATTTAGTTACAAGTGATGCGCTAACTGTAAAAGTAAATTATACTAACACTCATCTGTAAGACAGCTAAAAATGTTTAAACTTCAATATCATAAGGTTGTGAATGAGCAGTTGTGGTTAATCGAGAATTATCAGCACAGTTATGTAAGAGGAATTAATATTCCTCTCTAACTGATATATCTTCCCAAAGTGATTACACCACACACTCGCTTTTCCCACCCCTCCGCTGTTTAAAATTTTTCAGATCATTAAAAGTGACAAATTTTCACAATGATGAGAAACATCAGCACATACACACAAAAAAGACAAATTAATTAATTAACATGTTTAAAACGCGTCAATGGTTCAATGGTAAACTGTTCATCAACCCGATACATGTACTCCCAATTCAATTTTCCCGCCAACACATACTCATAAACAAGTATTGGTTTGAAGGGATTTGGTTGATTGGTTACAGGATTTCATCATGAGCTGACATCATCGGTTAGAGAATCATTGGAAAACTTGCAGGGAGTACTGGACAGCTGTTTCGTCCTAGTTTGGGACTCTTCATCAGTACGCACCCACGGGAATTCGAATCCATGACTTTCTGCTTACAAGGCTAGCTCGCAGACCATTAAGCCACTGGGACCTGATCCAATGGCCCAAACAGCTGTCCAGTACTCCCTGCAGGTTTTCCAATGGTTCTTTAACTAATGTCAGCTCATGATGAAATCCTGTAGCATACTCAAAACCTAGCGGGCTTAACCAGTGAGTAAGTAAGTAGTAAGCTCGGTAGAGAGGGAAGATTGGGAATGAGGCTAACAACTTCACCCTGTCTGTGTTGATGAAATCCACACACACACACACAACCACCCCCATCCCGCATACCACCCACGCAATGTTCCACTCGGAACACGAAAGAATTAGGAGAGAAAAAAAGTGTTTAAATAACCGATAATTAATTGATAAATATAAAAAAAGTTTTTGATTTTGCTTACCTGACATTTATGTATTTTTTTTTCTTTTTGAGAATTGGTTAACCAATTAATACACTTCCACCCAGAGGATGATGATGATGATGACGACGATAACGAGGATGCCAATGTAACTAACTTATTCTTCTTCTGAAGAGTAGGTAGAATAGTTGACTGTGGAACAGTTGTTCGAATTGTTGTTTTTGTTGCTGCTTTTTTCTGTGTTGTCGATGTATCCTCAGTAAATTGTTGTGGTGAGAATAGTTTTTGTATATAACAGTAACACCGTGACTTCCTGTAGACCTCGTAAATAAATATAGGCTCGCTAAGAGCATTTTGTTTTTGTAATAGAAAAGGGAAAAGAATATGTCAATGTGGTAAATATTACAGAGAATGGTAATTAGTTTGTATATTTTGTATAATTTACATTACAAAATAAACACGTTTGTGTAAGTGTTTACGCAAGTGAGTGAGTGAGTGAGTGACTGAGTGAACGACAGAGCGAGCGAGCGAGCAAATGCGCGCGTGTGTGTGAATGACTGACTGAGTGAGTGAGTGACTGTACGTACACATGATACAAAAAATATGTCAATATTTTCTACATATGCACATACTTTTCATATATATATAAAGTGAACATGTCAAGGATTTTAAAGATTAAGTAAGTTATGGTTGAAAGGTAAGTCATGTGATGGCACATAAAGAGAAAAGATCAAACAATAAAAAAGGTATTGTTTGAATTACGCACACACACACACACACACTATATACAAACAAATATACAACACAATCACATAAATATTGAATAACAAAAAGTAATAAGATGAACTTTATTCATATAAACACAGTAAGTCCTATCTAATTTCTGTTTACCATATTAAAACACGGTTGTGTTAATTTTACTCTATGATGAACGATCTCTCTCACTAACATCTTCATTTATTAATTTAGACGAAAACAAACATGATAATATACTATAAAATTCAGAAATAATATATAGATGGATGGTGGTGACTAGCAATGGAATCCAAGATGTGAATTTCGTCCCCCCCCCCCGCCCAACTTGTTACTTGTCATCCGTCCCCATACTAAGATTCGAATCGAATACCCATCGTTTCAAACGCTGAAGCGTTATCCATTGGACTAATTGGGTCAGTAATAGCCACACCTCTGGTGCAACAGGAATTATTTGTATGAGGGTAAATCCATGTACATCTTGGAATCTACTGGTAGTCACCAACTACCAAAATTACGCCAAGTTGATCGTTAGACATCGTCATAGCGTCCGTACTGGGCGCTGACACATAAGTCCATAGAGGTCGAACACTTTGGTGCAGAAATTAAAATTGAATTGGAAATAAATATAATACACAAGTGAGTTTGCATTTAACCACCTTCAAACGTAAAAAATACACCTCTAGTTCACAAAAGTAGAGATGATAATATTACAGAATCAAATCCTTATGAATAGCAGACATTGTCTAAAGAACAAATAAAACCAGATAGAGTGTCTATGAAAAGGCCCACTGATAATCTTTACTGGTGTATTGAATTCACAAGCACTAGATCTCAGTGCAAACGGTTATAACAAGTAAGAGCGTATTCAGCCTTTGGCGCTTTCTTCAATCCTGTTTCAAAATGAATAAAGGACATATCAAACCAAGAAATGTTTTCATCAAAATGATCTTTCTACCCTCTTTTTTAAAAAAAAAATTTCTACAGAGATTAAAAAGATGTCAGAATTAGTGCAGATATGAGTTGTAGACACTTATGGAAGTACTGAAGAGTCTCAGAATAGACCGAAATAGCTGTCCAGTACTCTCTAGTTTTCAATGATATCGACCTGGTGTTGGTTTGTGACGAATAAGTGAAACAAAACTAATAGAACCCTCAGCAGTGAAGACATTTTCAAAACTTTGACCTACCAGAGGAAAATCGATGACCTCTACACCTCTACACCACATCAATGAGCTACAAACACCCACAACAGTGGATAATTAGTTCACTACCTTATAGTAAGGAAAGAATATTGTCTACTCACTAGGATTCGACTCCACCACTCGCAATCGGACAGCAGAGACTGAATAATTCATTTGCTGTTAACAGCAACTGAAGACATCCCCAAGCACTTGGTCTGATTCAGTCAAAAGAATCTCGTTAACAATAATTGTAATACTCAACTTTATTGATCAGAAAGGAATGATAATTAAAGAAATATAACTTCTTTCTAAATTTCAGCAATTAGTTGAGTTCAGAAATCTCTAAGACAACTTATTTCATGCAGCCAAATAAGTGAGAGAGAAAAGCCGTTAGAGAAATTAAACGCACCATTTAATCAAGTTTAGAGATACCTAATAGAAGATAACTGGAGTTAAATCACATCTTCCAGACTTTGAAGCAAGCTTTTCAACATTTAACCAATAGATAGAAATTCCGCATCTTCCCCAATTCCCATTTCTCTTCGTTTAAGTTGTAATTATTCAGTGTTATTATCAGGAGGCATGTTTCTTCGACTTTTAAACTGAATGACCACCGCCACACATGAAACTGATCGAAATGTTTACACAACACACACAATTCTCAAGGTAATTCGTCTAGAATAGAAAAGCTGTCTATAGTATATCATAAGCATTGATTCATCCCGCCTAACGTTTTCCTTTCATCCTATAGAAATGCACATCGGTAGTTTGAAAGCCAGTTTTAAAAAAGTGTACGTGAGTACATTTTGCGACTCTCTGTCTGTCTGTCTGTCTCTCTCTCTCTGTCAAGGACATATTTTCAATGGTTAAAACAATAAGAATTAGAGAAAATATGACGCATTGTGTGTGTAGAGTGGAAATTCAAGTAGCTCAGTGATTCAACCAGTCCGCTTTTACTACACCGTAGTAGTTATACTTCCACCAATGAATTTCTTGAGTGAAATATCACACTGTTATATGAATGACAAATATGAAAGCTGTTCAGCATTAATAACCTATTTTAACTGACAACAAATAAATACAACGAGCTAACTTATAGTTTGCATAAAGGCCAATAATATTACATATATTTAACTAAAAACTTTGCAGTTTAGACTAATAATAATAATAATCCAACAGTGGTTTAAAGTTATGTACTCAAACCAATCAGCTTATTATCTATCTACCTATATCTATGTGACGTCAACAGAACTATGCTTAAACATAAAATAGAAAAAAAAGAGATACATAAGTTTGATGTCTTATATCCTAAACGACTTAATTGGAGCTACTACTAATACTACTACAACTAAGCCACTTCATGAGTCGGTGGTTCAGGAGACACCACCACAGACGTGGTGTCCCAGTTCGATTCCCAGTCGACATACACTTCTGAACCTCACCTGGTTTACTAACTGATAGATAGTAAGCTTGAAAATGACAGAAGTTAGTTGAGTGTGAGGTTAGCGACCTCATCTTGTCAAAAAAGACTTACTAAAACGCCAAAACTTAAAACTTGAGGCCCTATATACGTTCCATACTTGGAACGCATAAGGAATGACAAAATAAAAAGAGATGAACACATTCATTCCATGCAGAAGAGATAGTGGTGACCCAAGAGTAACTAAACGCATAAAATATACTCAAAAGTTTAGAAAATTAATAAATGAATGAATAAAACAATACTAACTAAACTAACCTGTTGTTGTTGAAGTAAAAAAAAACAACGAATTATTCAGTTTTTAAAATAAATCCACAATGACCATGTGCAGCTTAAAAGGTGTTCAAAAACACACTTGCTTACAGGTAACCTTATGCGACAAAAAATGACGAATATTATTAAACACAATGTGATATCAGTGTTCGTGAATTGTGTTCACTGGCCAGAGCAATCTTTGTATTTACCAATTAAATTAATAATTACTCTTTTAAACTTAATAAAAGCATAGTACACATAAATTAGAATAAAGTTAATTCATTAAGTTAATACTGATATCCATTGAATATGACCTGCATATAATATACATATATACATAGATATATATTTATCGTTAAATAGAACATCTTTATAATTACTGGATTAATACACAAAGCAGAGATTAGAGTGCTACTCATTACTGATGTAAATGCAATATAAACTTCCATTTTCTAATTCGTGATAATAAACACTTTTCTACAATTTAACAATACTAGTCTAATTACACAGATCACTTAAAGCCCAATAATAATAAAACCCAAATTAATTGTTGCCTATAGACATCAATGGCCCAGTTAGCAGGAGAACACTCGCCAGCCACGCCTCAAGTGATCCGGGGTTCGATCCCCGGCCACCAACGCACTCCCAAAACCTCGCTAAGCCGGTAAAGAGGGAAGGTGTTGGGTGTGAGGTTAGCAACCCATTCCTGTAAAAAAATAAAAATAAAACTGCTACCGAAACTTCAAAGCTCTACCTTGAAACGACATCTTCCACTCGGAGGAACGTAAAGGAATAGAAATAATAATAACAATAGACATCGACACACTATTGTCATTGAAAAGTGTATCTTGTGCTTTGATATTCGCTAATAAAAACTTATATCCGCAAGTGAAACGAGTGTCATTCATCACAGAAATAGAAAAAGGAAGTTTAATATTTTCACTGACGAGAACTTTAAATAGTTCATAAATGATACATACAGAATGTTGAAAATACATACGCAAATAATCTTCAACTGGAAGAGAATGAAAGTTAAGACTAAGGTGAATAAGGATTTCTAAAAAGAAAGGCTGTTTTACTTTAATTCTAATTTACAGATAAAGACGAGAAAATTTAACTGAAAATGATCAACACTCCTCTCTTAGACAGTCGCAATAACTTATATAACTTGATGAAGTCATCCTCTGTCAAAAAGAAGAACAACTTTGACAACAGAAACAACAAAACATAAACTATGTTAGCAGAAAATACCAATCTCAAATTATTAGTTTCTGCTTATTTATAGTAGCATTATATTTCAACACAGTTGTCCGAATGAAACATAAACGTTTACAGACAACAAATCTATGCAATTTCACAGTTCCCCACAGTCTTGAC